TTTTATAAGTCTGTCTTCTTTTATTAGTCATATATATGTGTGTATATATATATATATATATATACAAATTTTTAATATAATTTTTCTGTTTTGTTTTGTTGTTCTTGTATTAGTCGCTTGGCATTTACAGCTCAAGTGATTGCCTCGAAGCAGCCTGCCTGAGGAACTTCACCACCATGAGCGAAGACTTCCTGCGTCACACGAGCTGATCCCTGAACAGTATCTACACCTTCAAGTTGTCACCATTGCTTCAGAACGAGGCTGAGCCATCTCCCTAAACCACCCGAGGAGCCGATTATGCAAATGCAAGGCTAGCTAATTAATTGGCAGTCAAAGAAGAGTGCTCGTCTCCCAAACCCTGCACCACAGAGATTGCTTTCTTGACAGCGGATGGGGGATCATGCCCAGAGGCAACAACAAAATAACAGAGATTTACAGTGGCTGATGATAATCAAGAACCATAATTGCTTTTTCAATCACAATGATAATGACACAATCTTGATGTAGAGCATTGTAATTGTGCTATTAATATGTATACTCTTCTCAGCACTGCAGCCATCTGTTGTGGAGAGAGAGAGAGAGAGAGAGAGAGAGAGAGAGAGAGAGAGAGAAGGGTGCTCAAAGGCTCTTCAGCACTTTAAGAGGATGCGTTACACAGCTTACAGCCATCGGAACGAGGTCAAACGTGTATATAATGAGGGCGTTAAATGGCTGGTTGGCTGTTTAAGAGCAATTTACTCTCTGAGGGGAAACACTGAAAAGTAATACGCCATGTCAGCACTGGTAATTAAAGATTACAGTGTATTCAAGTGAGCTTTGGAGTCATCAAAGATGGTCCCTTGTTCTGGCAAATGATAATAGGTATGTTTTTTAAATTTTTTAAAAATTACTTCAATAACAAGGCCACTTATATAATGCTAAACAAATTCAACATTTACCCTCTTTAGGTAAACAAATTAGCACTAAAATATTTTATAATATAAAAGTTATTTTGTACAATAATATACTGTCATCAGAATTTTGTTAGGAAATCAATGCAAGGTAAATCGGTTCTTTCTCCTAGGAGAAAACAATGCAAAATCTAAATAATTCAGTGCAACAAACCATATAATCAAAGCAGCAAAATAAACAGGCGTATAAATGTTTAAAAAGTGAGGAGAAAACACTGTCAATATATTTTGCTGTTGAAGTCGAAAGCTCTACATCCGTTCTAAACTACAGTATTATAGTGCAAATTCATCTGTCACTTGATTTAATGTATACAAACTAAGTTGACGCCAACAAGAATAGGTTGTGTGAGATTGTTGCAAACCATCATCATGAAAAATAATACCTAGACTGTATTAAATTCATGACTACTTATGAGGATAATCATGACTTGTACTGACCACAATATGTTTTGTAAAGTGAAATATAGGCTACAAAGATTAATATTATTTTAATTATTATCATGAATTAACATTACTTTTATATAAATGTTTACCCTAACCCTAACCATATTTTAGAATTTACATAAATTCTTATAAAACATAAATAATAATTGAATATTTAAAAAGTATAAAACATTTTATATACAAAAGCTACATACGGAAATTTGCGTATATACAATGTTATAAAGTAACATAAAATAATAGAAACAATTGCACAAACAAAAAAAAGTCATTTTTGTTTATGTGTGTGTGTGAGATAAACAATCATAATACTATGAGGGGACAACAATTGATGCCCTAAGCAAGACCAGTTGAGAACCACTGTGCTAGGTAAGTTTCTGTCATAACACAAAACTGACTGGATAGATAAAGAAAGAAATAAGCAAATATACGGTATTGTCACGTAACCACGAAGATGAAGATGCCAATAAGTAGTCTTTAATAAATCAACATATAAGTAAATCCAAGCAAGAGAAGGCAGTAGACACACATAACATTGACGATACCTGACAAACTCAAACTGAACAGGCAGGAACTTAAATACGCAGACCAAACTAGGATAATTAACAAGACACACCTGAACACAATGAAGAGCTCAAATCACAAACCATGACAACTAACTAGGCAGAGGAAACAGTGCAAACAAACTCCAAACAATGTGATGTTGTGACAGGTATAAAATAAAACAAAAAACAACCACAAAATTGAATCATGGCACAGTGCATGTTGGAAACCTAAGCGGCAGTATCGTACTGTGATCATCCCACTACTACATTTAATGTGCAAAAATATAAAATCTTGAGATGCTACAGCAAAATGCTGCTAACTCTATCATTTCTTGCTCCCACTCACTGTGAAGTCAGTTCACAACGCTGCTTTTAAGCTCATATATATGAGAGAGTCTCTTCTGTCCGAGTCTGATACACACCTGTAACGCACAGCCGTAACCTCAGACGATCTCTCCAATAGCTTTATTGCTTTTACTAACGTAGTCACCCAGAGCGACTGATGAAGTCAATGTGGGCCCAGAGCAACCGGCTGCAAATGATTTATGCTTCAGAGCAGAAGCTAATCACACATTCACCAGGTGTGGGATGTAATACACTCTCCCGTCTCTCCAGATGGTATAGCATCGAAGAGCCCTTAAGGTTCCTCCGCATCCAATTCTGCCTGGAATGCCGACCGTGGAGCAGAGGGGTTACATACCAGGGCCGCACAGCTCGGCCTGTAATAGCGGGGGTAATTAGATCGAGCACGCCGCAGACCGCATGCCGGCATATGGTACCTTTCAACTGTGAGCCCGCAGCTAACAAAGGAAGGAGTATTTTACATGGCGCAATCTCTAATCTCATAAACAATACTAAAGACATGATGTAAGGCTCCAGGGTGCCATGAACGCTGAGGCATATTGCATTTAGATGGAGCCTGTGGGGCCGGAGCTGAAATATGGTGATTTGATTGCAAGCGTCTGTAAATAGCTTTTGCCAGCTCAGTCGGCCTACGCTGACAACACGATTTGCAGCACAGCTTGCTTTGATTCAGTGGGAAATAAAACACACAAACTCACTGCAGAGCCTCGCGTTCTGAAGTGAGATGTTTTGAATTTCACCAAAGGCTTCGGTCCCTGAGATCAGAGACTTGATATAACTATCTGGGCAAGAGACAAATTCGCTCGGTTTCGCTCGCCTTTCCAACTGGCAGGCTTCACAAAGTTACTTGACATTCCCGTTTGAACTCGTTTGAAAAATCGCCTCCATCTTTGAGTGTTTGCAACAAAATGCAAGGAAAGATAGCCTGACCGGTCGCAGTCTACAATCTTGAAGCTTACTGTAAAGATCTGTATCGGATTTAATCTCGCACACATGCCCGCCAGCCACTGCCAGATGGAAAGCTGGCACTCGCCTCGGCGGATTTCACAAATGGATGCTTTGCAGCGAGGAGCACAACACTAAACAGATGTCAATTACCAAATCAAAGCGTGAATTACAATATTGGTGCTTTTAGATTTCAGCAGACCTTTGTCTCGCAGCACAAAGTCAATTCGATTTACTGATGCGTGCAGATATATTCAAACAGCAAACTTCCCACTCAAGACATCTAGAAGTGAGGAAAATAATTCAATAGCAGGTCAAATGAGCGAGTAATGAGAAATAGCCCTGGGACAGAGAAAGTCGGCTCTGCTAGGGAAGTGATAAACATTCTATAAAAATTCTCTCTGCAGAACACACTCGCGCAAGAATAGAGGTGCAAGGAAAGGTGAAAGAGTGAAAAAAGCACTGAAGTTTTTTGTGTGAAAAAACGCGTTTAAACTTGACAGCGCCTTAAAGGAGAAACAAAACTGAGCTGTGATTTCATCTTCGCTAGCCTGAGGCCGTTCACAGCAGCTCAGACTCGGAGCTCTGTAGAGGCAAAAGACCTGGATGCATATTTTGTGCGTTTTCTTCCGCTTTTATCACACACAACATCTCTGATCACCCTATGGGCAGATGTGCCTGTAGAAGTGATGCAGTAGTTATTTTTTTATGTAGGAAAATATATATAGGAACATATGCTGCACATCAGACCAGAGAAACTTAACTTAAAGGGACAGTACAAAATATGTATAAAATTATGTTTATTAATGCTATTGATGTAAATGAGGTGAAAAAAATGATCAGAGCCTCATTCTGTCATCATTTATTCACCCTCAAGTCTTTGCAAACCTGTAGGACTTTTTTGAAGGATGTTGGTTCCAACTGACTTCTATTATGTTTTTTGACCATACAATGGATGCCAGTGAGAACTGAAATTGTTACCAACATTCTTCAAAACATTTTCTTTTGGTTTCCACGGAAGTCAGTCAGTCATACATGTCTGGAGCAACATGAGGGTAAGAATGACAGATGACCGAAAATTAATTCAACCACTCCAAAAAAAGAAATAAAATAATAATAATAATAAAAATAATTAGCTAACATGACGTTTGGGTCAAGCATTATGGTGTAATTTGGCTCTGAAAAAAGTACATTATTTTATTTCTACTTTAATGTGACGTATTGTGGGCCAAATTTGATTTCAAATTAATTGAGAGCATTTTCTAAAGCTCTAACACAGAAAGCCATTGTTCTGGAGCAAAAGGAGCATGTGATTGGCCAAGTCTTTTGTTATGTTTCAATCATTGACCATGTCCTCATTGAACATGCATAAGTGTTTCCATGTGTACTCCATGCTACAGAACCGGTTTCTACACGTGACAAGAGTGCCCCCATATGGATCTAAATATGTTATTTTTAAAACTTTTTTTTTCCCCACCAGATAAAGGATAAATATCTGTCTAATACGTCTAATATTAGTTAAAACAAATATCTTCAGTATCCAGTTGCTCCAACTGTTGGTGCTTTTTGTGACTTGGAGTTTTGTTTTGGCATTCTCAATCTCATCACAATGCCAAATTGTCCTCAATTTGTGCTAAACTATACTGAAGTGTGCAATTTTTTTAATATATTTTTAATTGTAATTTTAAAATCCCAAAGCTCAATATACAACAATAAGTAAGCTACAATCAAAACTGAGTTTCCGAAAAGATGTTTTAATACAAAATGTTCAAAGCGTAAGATTGACATGTATACAAAACCAAGGTAACAAACAAAATTCAGATGTCAAGCTTCAAGAAAAGATGAATTTGAGCCAAGAAAATACTTTTTTAAATGGTGGTCTAGAAAACAGACCAATAATATCATTGCTAAGCGCCCTGGACACACTCCATTGTTTTGCACACTCAAGTACACAATCAACTAACAAGCTAACACGCCATTTAGAAAACGTCTACTACATCTACAGCAAGTTGCTTTGTGACCCGAATTACTCCAATCCTTCAGGACAGGCCGGAGAATGAACATCCAACTCACTTAAGACTTAAAAGATGCTTCCTGGAAAGTCAAGCGTTGTTTTGAGTCAAATATAGATGGTGGTTTTCACTGGCAACAGAATATGGAATTGCAATCTATATTTTTATATTTCAGTACATCTTGTCCTTTGTTTTGAAAAATGGTACCCCGTGATTTGACTATTCATATATACCATATAAGTACAGTTTACGTAAAACTATATCAAATTAGAATTTCTGTCATTACCTTCATTCCAGATGTTTTCAAAACTTGTGGTATTGGGATGCCAAAATGGAGAAAATTCATGTTCAGTGTTTTGTGTGGACTGACTTTAAACTGAAATGGTCCCAGCGCTAGTCCAACAGCTGTAAGTCATCTATCATTATACTGCTTTGCATGTTCATAAGCAGATTTCTGCAACCCAGAGTCCTGTAACATGAGGCTTAACCTTTATATAGGACAAAAAACTCATTCCAATCTATGCATAGTCCCATTAACATTTCTATTTGTCTGTTTGTGTTGTCACAGTGCCTGTGTGCTGGAGCTGATGATGTCCATGAAGGTGGCCTCTATCTGATAGCATAGCTGTACATCAGGATCGGCTCTACCCAGCTCCTCTGCAGACCTCTTGCGTAGAGAGTATTTGGATTCTGATAGCGGTATTTCCTGTGGCTTCTGTCTCATATACTGGAGCCCTAAACACAAGAGCACAGTGGATTAGATCTAAATCTAGGGCTACATGATTCAGCCACAGCATATTGTGATCATTTCTTGATTAAAAAAAATAAGTGTGAAAAGATAACCTCATTGCTGATGGCTTAGATAAGAGATAAAAGAACAAAAAAAAAGCATAGTACACTTTGAAACAGAAGCTCACATGCTCGACAGACTGTGCAAAAACCTGCAAAGAATGCCATGTGTTTGTCTGTCAAAGTCTGCAAAAACAGTTACTCTACTGACAAGGGTCATCAGACTTGAAAATCAACCCTAAATCTCTTTTAATTGACCCAAAAGTGAAGTGAGTGAAAATGAACCTAGTTATCCTAGTTTGATTCATGGGGTACCTGAATTTGCAAGTGGACATTTGGTTCACTTCAACTGTGATGGGGTCACAGGTCACAATTTTTTGGAAGTCTATTAAGTTAAATTTGATGGTAATAATGAAATATAGTTAGTTTTAATACAATGAATATTTAAATGCAATATTACTATAATACATATTGATATTATTATAATTAATATACAGTAGTCAACATTTGAAGTGGCTCAAAACCTTTCATCAAAGAACCAAAACAATACCCGTTCTTGTCTTAGGACAACTTTGATGAACTTTTTTTATCCACTTCAAATGTTGACTACTGTATTCTGAATTAAACCTTAAAAAACCCAGAAAACTGAAGGAAGGCCTTTGAGTTGCAATATGTAGTTGACAATAGTGCATAAAATATTTATTTCAAATCTTGAAATCGTTTTAAAAATTTTAAAAACGTGTGTGTGTGTGTATGTATGTATGTGCATTTTTAAATATATTTACATTGTGGTTCTTTTCCTCATTACAGCTGTTAAATACACAGTCAAGTACCTTTCTTTTTTGTTAAATTTTCCAATCATTTTTTGCTCTGAAACAAAGTTTGTAATGTTGTGATTCACCTCGTTGCTAGTTGGTTTTGGTTCTGGAAAAATATATACAGAACCAAGGCACCTGAAAAAGTGGGCATGCACTTTTTCACTCAATTAGATCTGACTTTAAATGGAGTAAAATATTTTAAAATCTTGCCTTGTCCCTACCCCTTACAATAGCCATTGATCATTACAAATGAAAAACATTTAAGTCAAATAAAACAAGAACACGCTCACTGGCAATGAGAGGGTCAATATCTCTGGCCTTGGTGGTGATATCAGCAGCGGACACCTGTCCCACCTGAACCAGCAGGGACATGACATCATCAAAGAGTGGGGGGAACGCCTTGCAGAATGAAACCAGACATGGCAGTGTCGGCATGAAAAATGCAAAGCGCTTGGCACGGGTCAGCACTGTGAAAGATACCAAAAATGTGTTACTTAAGTGAATAAATTACAGAATCACATGCAGTTTTTGAGAACAGATGCACTAGAAAACATAAAACCTAAATGATCCAATACAAAACTGCACAGGAACTGCAGGATTTAACAGTGCTCAAGACTCCTCTGGTACTCCATTCAATAAAACAATAAATGGATGGCTGATGCATAATTTATAAACACTGCAGATGAAGGTTTTTCATAAGCAGTAATAAGTTGCCAGCAGAGGGCAGTGTGTACAAAGATAATGGGACAAGTTTGCACAGGTTGGTTTTTGATACAAAAAAAGGCAAGGTAATGGTCTGATATCTCCAATTATCAATGTTATTTTTAGACACTCTTTAATAAAATGCCAGCCCTAATAAATGAATAAGAACAGAGACCAAGGTAAAGAGAAAATGGAAGAAAGATAGAGATAAAACAACAGATGGAAGAGTTATTTCTACCTGTGAGGATGGTGCCCATCACACTAATGGCAAGACGTGCCACACTGAGGGATTTGGGCAGGGCGTACTGGGTGCACAGATGGGACAACAGCTGTATGGCAAAGATCTGTGCCAGACAAAACAAAACTGCCATTAGCATCAAGCCCAGAGGTCAACCCTGAGGGCTCACCATGTGTCTGTGATTCAAGTTGCATAATACTCTTAATACTTCAATTTATAGCTGTACAGCTCTAAATTAAGTTGTAGTATACACTATAAAGCTATAAAGAGTCTTGTATCCTACAGAGTATACTTACTAAATATACTGAACCACGGTCATCTGTGTGTCTCATTTGCAGTTACAAAACATTGTTTTGTTAACCATATGTGTTCAGCAGAGATTATATTCTATGAATACGCATGGGATGACAAATTAAGGGATTCACACCTGAATTTAAACACATTTTCCATTTCAAAATTCCATACTTTTCCAGATTTCTCAAATTTCCAAACCTTTTCAGACCATATTTAACATAAATGGTTCATACAACATTATATATTTTTATTTTCTCAGGGTTTTATAAAATAGATTTTCTTGCATAAAGACATATAGACTTTTGCATGCACACAAGAAAGTGTATCGTGCCCTCAAGAAACTATTCACATGCGCATGGGTATATTTTGTGTGTTTACACATTACATTTTCTAGTTTTATATACTATAACCTGTTTCCTTTGTGCGTCACAGCCGTCTTACTATGAAGAAAACAAGAGCAAGGATGCACATGAATTAATATAGATCCATTTGCTTAAAATTTGGCTTTCCTTAGAGTAGTACCTCTAATATCAAGGCCTAATGTCCAATTTAACACATCCTCAGTGGCGGCAGAAAAACCATGACACAAAATGAGCTGACGGCACAATACGGCTGTGTGCATAGTCTTATTTGCCAAGTTCAATGGTCTATAAAAAGAAAAGCATGTTAAAAATCGTCATGTTTCAACACCTTAGATCTGCTTTAATGCATAGCCTATTCAGTGGCAGCCAAAAAACCACACCACGAAATGGGCTGATGGCACAACAAGTGGCTCAATGTGCATTGTCCTATATGCGAAGTTTAATAGTTTCTTGTGCGCACACGAAAATCTGTATATTTTGTATTTTTGCAGAGGTCATTTTAGAATTTGGTGCTAAGAATATCCTGTCAAAAAAAAAAAACTGCAATATAACCTGCATTTTTGCATAATGAAAGTGCACCTTGAATTCATTCAGTCGCGTTTGATAATCACTAAAGAATCATTAAACAGCTGCCATAAACACTTCTTGAATGATACATTTATTTTCATCATAATTTTCTATTACAGAAAACTAAATGGGGGCAAAAGTCTGGAAATGCAAATATTTTTCCATACTCTGCTTTCTTATTTCCATACTTCTCCAGACCTGGAAATTATTAAAATCAAATTCCATACCTAGGAACCCCGTTTACATGAATTCCAGAATTTGGGAGTGACAACTGGTCTATTTAGTCCTGGCTGATCATTTGGATGAACAAACTGATAGCCGCTTACCTGTTTCTCCAGCTGCGGCTGAGCGAGGAGTTCTGGGATAAAATCTAGACAGATGTGCATAGAAGGAATTCCTGCCACCGTCAGAGGGAGCAAAGCCTGCGGATAACCCTGAAGAAACATTTAAAAAACATTTAGAAAACCTTCAGTACTCAATAAGAGCTTTAGAAACTAGTAAGAGATTTCTTTGATTTAGTTTTTCTTTATCCGAGACTGATTCACAAAAACCTAATAGCCATTTTATACTTTAAAACTAACTTCAAGTTAGCTTTACTTTAAAATTGTTTAAGTCAAGAAGAAAATGACGCCATTTAATTATTTAATACATGTTCCTGCTAAATTTGCAAATGATTTACTAATGCACATAATTACAAAAATGTAAAGCCTTCATAGTGTCACAATTTTACACTACCATTCAAATTTGTGGTTTATTTATTTATGATTTAACACCATGTCAGCAGCAGTGGCTATAATTCATGGCAAGAGGAAACATTTCAATTTCACAATTCAGTCATATATATCATTTCAAACAATTATATAACAGTTTTGTTTGAAAATTACATATATAAATAAATAGATGTACAAATATACAAAAACATACATATAATAAAAATAATAACAAAAACAAAAGTAATAAGAACAATTATATAGAGTCTTTCAGCTTAATGCATGACAAAAAAATTGAAATCGTCCCAGGAGAATTATTTGTAAAAATGTCACAAATTTGTGGTTGGAAAGATTTTTTTATGTTTTTGAAATAATTTTCTTATGCTCACTAGTCTTGCAGAATAAGGTAATTATATGTGCTCTATAAGCACTAATAAACAGCCAATATGAAAGTACTATGCAAGTTAATAAGCAACTAGTTAATAGTGTGAATTGGTCCCTAAACAAAAGGGTTACCAAAAAATCTTGCCAGCCCCAAACTTTTGAACGGTAGTGTAATATTAGAAATATTTCATCGATTTTATAGTTAGATTTTTTTTTTAATATATTATCAGCATAACAATTAGCATGAATTATAGGATTTCTTTAGGGTATTTCTTATCAGGTATTTCTAAGCAGATAATACCTGAAGACCCTGGAGTCACAGCGCAGGACGATGAGAGGATCCACCATCAGATCATTCTGAGTGTATCTCTGCTGCCGCAGGAGCTTTACTAAAGGTTGCTGAGCGTTTACTGTCATCACCCACAGCCTGACAGAGGAAAGAGACTTAGTACGAGTGCTGAAGTGCAAGATATCATTCCATTTAACTACAACATATAAAACAGAGAGGAAGTCTCACTTGCGTGGCATGACTGTATTAAGTACCATCCAGAGTTTGTTAACAGTCTGCAGGATCCTGCGAGAGACGCCGTCCTCTAAGAGCAGCCCCATGCTGGCAGTCAGAGCCTCTGCATATGGGATCAGATCACCCGCAGAGAGCAACGTCAGATGCTCCAGGATACGCAGCAGCCTGGGCCCGCCGGAGAGAACATTCTGGAAAGCTAAGAAAAAATGTAAATCCTTCATTAAAAAAAAAAGATAATTGAATCAATAAATCAAAATAATTACAATTAATTAATTACTTGCATGAAATATTTGATTATATTTAAATCAAAGACAAATGTAAAACATTTAGAGGCTTTAGACATCAATATATTTGTATGTTTTATTCCCATATCATTAAAAATAGCATTAGCCTGTCACCGTCTGTGAGTACAAGAGTCCTGTGGAGTAACAGGCCTGTCAGAGCAGCGATGTATGAATACAGAAACACCTTCAGGCTCATTACTCCGCAGGTGCAAAACTGAGTCATGCACATGAAAGGTCAGACTACAACAACAAACTATTCATATCATAGACCATAATAAACACTTGTGATCTCCTCCAGTGCCAAAGGGCCTTATGAGTCTCAATGTAGAATTCAGTGGTCTGGTTTACTGTACTGTGAAAATTGCTTGAGAAATACATTGTACAGCAGAGATGTGCTAATTGCTTTTGCAGAATCCACCTGAACAACAACTTTTCTATTTTTACCCATGGTGGCCTTTCCATTTCCTTATTTTGACTTTGTGTTGATTCAACCAAAATTGACTTTAGATATATCCCATTTTCTTTTAATCCGTATTAATATCCTTTACTGTGAAAAAAATATTTAAATGTCTTTATCCATCAAAATGATTTTTTTCATTATGAGTTAAATTTTGAAAATGTAGAAAATCTTTAATGAAATCTGTCATATCAGAAATGTGATTTCCACATTTCGGCCTTAACTAAGTGGGAGAGAGTGTGAGTTTCTTGTACCCTCTCGTAGCTGTGTCTGTGAGTATTTGCAAGATGAGGATGTCAGCAACATCTTCCTCAGTAAAGGCAGAGTACCAGTCACTTCCTCTTCACTGATCCAGTCCTCCACCATGCACAGGTGAGGATAGTTTGTGGCCAGCAGACGCAGAAGAGCAGAGTGTAGGCCTGAAAATAAAATAAAATATTAAGTACAAAACTAAATTCAACTTTATTTTATTCCATTTAGTATTACAGCACTATAACATTTCACTGTTCGCATGTATACAGCCTGTAAATCAATGCACATAAAAATGAATAAAAACATTTACATAAGATTTCAAGTATCAGTGTCACCTAATGAGAAAAAGATGCAACTAGTGATGAAACTAAATATGGCTGTATTATCATATTTTAAAACTACTCTGCTGAATATAAGTGCAATGGAGGTTAAATGGATGTCCTTTACCTCCCAGCTCCTGCTGCAGTCCCTGGGCCTGGCGGATGAGGTGTTTAATGGGAATCTGGTCCATGAGGGCAGGAGAGTACGATTTTGGTTTCTTCTGCATAAGTGCTGGGAGGAGAGAGAACGCGTGGTTATCAGGTTGTTTGTTAAAAATAGGTCTCTGTGGTGCAGTTCATGTACAGGTGATTTTTCATTGTATTCCAGTTCATTAGCACAGCCAAAGGGCATCATTACTCCAGAATGATAGAGGAGAAGAGAAGGAGAGAGAGAGATTAAATAAGCACAGCACTCTGGGAAGAGCTGTGTGCATAAACTGTGAAGAGTAACCGCTCTAATAACCGATGAGAGGCTTCCAAAGCAAAGCCCAAACTGCAGGTGATTGGTGTGAGTTTGAAGCAATTTAATATGCAGAGGAGACTGCAGGAAGCTAAGCTGTATCGCTCTCATCCTAATATTATAACAGCACTCTGGGTGGCAAGATAGGGACTTATATAAGCGAGCATACACCAGATTAACTGTAGATAAACTGATTAAATCCAGCTGTGCAGAGACTATAATTTAATAATTGAATTGTTTAAAATTAAACAAAGAAAAAGGCTGTAAGAGAAGACAAAACTGCATCTCTTTCAACTGATGAAACTGTAATTTGAATTGAATGGACCAATCAGAACAAGTGAATTCTAATTTAAGGAAACGTAAAACAGGAAATATTCTATTCACATTCAAAATGAAGCATCCCTCCATCCTTGTCCATAAAATTAAATGTAATTTATAAATACAATACAATATAAATAAATTAGTTAAAATTAAATTAAATTGTATAATAAAGTAAAAAAAATTTACATAAAATAAAAAGTTAATTTAATATAAATATATAAATTAAATACAAATTTAGGTGGCATTTCAAATATGTCAGTAATCTACCAACCCAACGTCTTTGTATTTGCGAGCAGAGCTTCCTCATACGACAGGATGTAATAGAGAATGAGCAACTGGGTGGTGATGGTATGCTGAGAACGGACTTTCCCTCCATCTCCCTGAGAGAGACAGAAAGATTAGAGAGGGAGATAGAAAGAGGTCAAACAGAGGTTAAAAGAAACAGAAAGTACAGGAATAAATGTTTTGATCTGCATCGGACAGAATTGGAGATATACAGTGTATAGCAACGTCATTTACATATATATAGTGCTTTATACAATACAGATTGTTTCACAGAAGCTTCACATTAATAAACATGAAAATAATAGTTAATATTGTAAAAATCATCAACTACGAAACAAATTCAGCTTGACAAAAGATAATACCATAATTCAGTTCACTTTAGAATGTTGTTTCAATTCAGTTCATAACTGAATAACTGTTAGTAGCAAAGTTCATAAATTAATAAACGAGTACAATTCAGCTATTAGCAGCTCTACATAAGACAACAGTGCCATTATTCAGCTCATGTCAGTTCAAAGTTGATCCAATATAGTTAAAAAACAGTGTTGGTTGCAAACTTAGTGTCATTTTCCAGCTGAATTCAGTTCAAATTTTGTTCTCATCTGATAGTGTCATCGCAGTTAAAATTATAATATTAATTTCTACATTAAAGACAATTAACATTCAGCATCATGACATATACTATACCACACATGATAACAGGTCTTTAATATCATTAAGCCTCAATTGTTTTAAAGTGCCTTTTGATCTATATAATTTATGCTTCTATCAATCTTCTAAGATCTGAATCTTTGGCTTGCCTTGTACACACTGCAATATCCAGATGCAGCTGGTCTAAAAATAACCTTCAATAATATCTATGCCACTGATTTGAGTAGTCCAATTTTTGCTACTGCAGGGCAGTTATTTATCGCAGTTATTATTTTCTTTTTTGAGATTTTGCAGTCAACATGATCGAAAAGATGCTAAAGCTCCACCCACCCCTGCCAAGCCTTGGAAAACATTAAGGATCTCCTGCTCTGTGATTGGCTGGTTGGTGGCCTCAGGCACTCAGAGATCATTCAGAATAAGTGAATTATCCAATCATCTACCTCTGGCACTTGGGTGATTAAATCATCTTTCCAGCTGAGCAGATCAATAGCTATAACATGGCTTACTGACTCTAGAGGAGGCAGATTCCAGTCTTTAAGGCTGACGATGTAATTGTGAGGAAACATTCTGATCAGCCGGGCGATGCACTACCACATTGAAAAACCACATCCTTAATTAAATCAATGGAGTGTCTTTCCACGAGTCAGGAGAGGAGCCAGCCAGTCAAACAGATAATAGAACCCAATGGATTCAAGTCGATATTAGCACTGAACAGAGTCAACAGAGTAATGTAGTGTAGTTAGCAAGGAGCGGATTTTAACACAACAGAAAGACAAAACTGGATAGGAAAGAAAAGAAAACAGAACAAAACAGACCCCAAAGCTACAACAGAATTACCATACAATAGAACAGGTGTCGGCAAGTAAGTTTGGCATCGGGCCAAAAATACATTTTCGCCACTAGATGGTGGGCCAGAACATGGTCAATGGATAATTTAAGGGTTAGTTCACCCAAAAATGAAAATTAGCTTGTATTTTCCTCACCCTCGAGGCATCCTAGGTGTATATGACTTTCTTCTTTCAGATGAATCCAGTCGGAGTTATATTAAATATTGTCCTGGCTATTCCAAGCTCTATCATTGCAGTCTGCGGGTTTTGCAGTTGAACAGTCCACAAGTCATCAAATAAAGCTCGCGCATTCATAATAAAACGTGCCACAGACGGCTCTGGGGGATGAATAAAGGCCCCCTGTAGCGAATCCATGTGTTTTTTAAAGAAAAATATCCATATTTCAAACGTAATAAACACTTTTCTCTCACTTCCGTTGACTGTCATACAGTGAAACAGTTGCGGCGGATGATGCAGCACGTATGTGCAGCGCGCGCGCCTCTGAGGTATGCTAGTCTCGCGAGTTTGTTTATAGGAGCAAAGGAAGCAAAGTTTCCTTACTTTAGCAAAGGAAAACCAGTCTCCTCTGGGTTTACATTTTTCTTTGCAAATCCATGGTTTGTACTTCTAATTTGTAACCGGTGTTTTGTTTTGTTCTCTCTCCGCATTTGTCACTAAGCAACAACGACGTGCTGCATCATCCGCCGGAACTGAGGAAAGGTGTTTATTACGTTTGAAATATGGATATTTTTCTTTAAAAAACACATGAATTCACTATAGGGGGACTTTATTCATCCCCCGGAGCCGTCTGCGGCACGCTTTATTATGAATGCGCGAGCTTTATTTGACGACTTGTGGACTGTTCAACTGCAACACCCGCTGACTGCAATGATAGAGCTTGGAATAGCCAGGACAATTTTTAATATAACTCCGACTGGATTCGTCTGAAAGAAGAAAGTCATATACACCTAGGATGCTTCGAGCGCAAATAAAACAGAGTCCAATTTTCATTTTTGGGTGAACTAACCTTTTAATTGATGAAAAATGCAACTAGAATTGCCTGTGACAGACTGTTGCAGTGTCTTTTGTAACTGGTAGTGAGCTGTTACTCTGTGTTAAATCCTGTAGGAGGACAATCATTAACAAAAAGCCACATTTGTGTGGTGGTGTCCGGCAGAGTATGTGAGCGAAGTGAGCATCAACAATTACCCCTCCGCGCTCGAGCATTTAATAATCACTCTGCTCTGGGTTCACCATTTCCCGCTCCCGCTCCACTCCACTCCTCGCAGAAACGCCACTCTGCGGCTAAAGTATTTCAGTATGTTTGAAATATCACAGTTCTGTTCATAACGTATATTAAAAAAGTTTCAAAGTGGCTTATCAGAACACTAGTGTTCAAACTTTTTTCCTACCACATGACAAGCTAATAACATGGTTGTCAGCATTAAAAGGTATAATTGCTGCTTTTTGCGGTGCAAATTTTGATTGTGATGAAAATAACTACGTTTTCAACAGTTATTTTACCTATATGGATCGATGAATTTCTTACAGATTTCTGCTCATTCTAAATTGGATACAGATGAAGTAGCACTGTAAGATCACATTTGTTTGAATGCATTATTCAGAGAGCGATTGCGTGTGAATAAGTGTTGTAGTACTTGAAATCATGCTTTCAGCTGAAAATATTCAGTATCTAGAAGGAACAAACAAATTCCTTGAAAACTATAACTTCCCGCTCATGTCCATTGCTGTCATCATAGCTTCACATTCTTTCTGATTTGAGTGATCCTTCTCTATCAAGCTAGCTAAATATGTTTAACATGTGAATTCTTGCTAAATATGCAGTTATATTACGGGCTGTTGGCGTGAATTGTACTCGTGATGGAGCGGTGGTGGAGTGCTCTTGGAGCGAGTGAAAACCACGCTCCGACTTTTAAAAAATCCGCTCCTCGCTCGTCAAAATCACACCGCTCTACTCCGCTCACATACTCGAACTGTTGCCGTCACAAATCTATTTCAGAACCAGCCGCTATCAAAATAATCTGGCTGTGGGTGGGCGCGGGCCAGATATTATTGCTGGCGAGTTTTGGCCCGCAGGCCGCCTGTTGCAATAGAATTTAATAGACGGAACACAAACAAACAGAACAGAATAACCAAAAAACAAAAAAAACAAAACAGAAAAAACTGAATTCCAACAGAACAGAAACAGCACAGTCAGAAGAGCATACTCAGGATTACCTTTATGGACACTTTGTGTTTGGTGAAAGCTCGGCTCCTCAGGAGCTGGTATATGCAGTGGATGGGGAGAAATCCTGTGATGTTGGCACTGAGGTTATTAGTAACAGCCACTCGCACGGCATGTGCTGTGACCACCTGTGACAACACAAAAATCCACTTATTACTATATCGGTCTTGATGCCATAATTGTGCAGCTACATTACATTTAAGATTCAGCAGATGTCTTATCCATAATGACAAAAAGTGCTTTGTTTCCATTTGCTAGACCGCCATGTTCAACAGATGGCAAGCATGTAGCTCTTATAGTTATCTGCTAGGACAGGATATCTATAATAGTAAATGTAATATTATGACAAGCTGTTAGTAATTAAGATGTTTGCTCTGGTGCCTACACAGTTCTTGCAATATGTCAAATGACAAACTCAGAGGCACACCATTATTTTTTACAAAAACTTTGTTCCTATTAGAAGAGGCTAACGACTGTTTTGCATACCTGTTCTGTGAAGATTTCCTGAGTGAAAATGGTCTTCATTTTGCTTAGTGAGCTGGGTTTGATGGCGATCTGTGAAAGGATAAGGAGTTTAAGTCAGTAAAATATGTTTCTCAACCAGATTAAACTCTGTGCCAGGTTTAGAAACTACAAAAACAAATTTCAAGAAAATATAAAGTTTTTTTTTTAATACCGAAAGTGACTCATTCTGGCTAAACAAACCCTCCATGACTCATCTACCTGTACCACATCAATAATGTACGACTCAGCTAAGGGCAATTACATATTACACAGACGTACTTTAGCCTTCTCTGGGATGTGCATGTTCCTAGACACTAACAATCAATAAATCCACCAATTAACACCCTCTCTTCTGTGACTTTAACAGTGCAAGCCACCAATATAATAGATGTTTACACCTAGAGGACTAATTCTGGAATTTAACCAATGTTGCCATTTAAGCCCCAAAGTAAACAGGACTAAGTACCCCCTTTGTTTGGTTCTAAATTTGACTTGTTTTTATAGAAAAAACAAAACAAAACAATACCTCTAGAGTGAACCACTGATGGATAGACTGACCTAGAGCTGTAGGCACTAGCATTAAATGATTTTGTCTAATCAAAAACCAATTATCTTAATTATAAAGCATTTTTGCTCATTATAAGTTAAACTCAAATGTTCAGAATGCCCAAAGCAGCTGTCTAAGTAAGTCAGTTTACTATGCTTCAAAACGGCTAAAATGCCTATTCAGGGGTTTGTTTGAAATATGTTTCACATATGTACTTTGTGATTTCAATTCCAGTCTGTTTGTCCTCGCACAACTTTGGTAAAAAATTACAGAGTGTATTAGCTACTTTTTCATCGGCTATCTTTGGGGTCCTCTGTGAAATTAAACCCACCGGGATAGAAACATCTGCGGTTGTTGAATGTATTTTTAACGCTCATTTATTCATGCACTCATTACTGTATACCAGTGATCCTCAAATCTGGCTCGCGAGATCCACTTTCCTGCAGAGTTTAGCTCCAACCCTATAATCAAACAAACCTACCTGTGATATTCTAATGATCCTGAAGACATTGATTAGCAAGCTCAGGTGTGTTTGTTTAGGGTAGAGCTAAACTCTGCAGGAAAGTGGATCTCGCGAGCCAGATTTGAGGATCACTGCTGTATACTAAAAGGACATTTCTCACTAAATGCACTACCTAGTGCACATTCATTATAGAATTCCCTAATCATATACACTATTGTTCAAAAGTGTGGGGACAGTATGAAAAACTGTACCAACTATACTAATATAATTAATCACACATAGAAGTTTATTTCAATGGGTTTTGTGATGCATGCATACACAGCATAAACTTCCGTGACATCCACATTCATTCAAGAGACACCCCCCATCTTAATAAATTACACGAAATGACAGGCATCCAATGTTAATAAATATAACTCAAATGTCATTTAGAAAACTAATCCCCCCAGAATAGTGCTAAAGTGATCTTATTATGGTGTTCAAAGGCTGCTAGCACTGACCAACTCACTGCTTAAACTCACCTTCATCCCAAGGGTGGAGCAAACCAGCTCGATGATGGCACTGAGCTGGTTGCTATGGAAATACATGGCAACCAGTAATAGCATCTCTCCAAAAGAGGCCGAGACACCGGCGGCACTGGAAAGAATAAGAGAAGGGAGGAGAAGAGGAGTAATAGAGGGACGACAAAGGGGGGAGGGGAAAATGCATTAAAACGAGTTAATATTTAAACACTCTTTTATACAGAATAAACAGATAGACACATACCAACCCCAAGGGTTACAGTGGGCTTCACATACATGATAACCCTAACCACAAACACGCACGGGCGTGCATCGAAGGACATTTATCTCTAAATTTATAGAGTGGATAAGCACTCCCATCACAGTGGGTCACGAGGAGCACAAGCTACAGGAGAGATGACTTATAACCCATCAGCTGCTTATTAGTTATTAAATTGAAAAAGCCTGTCACTGCCTAACCTCTTCATAACCCCATCTGTTTTCATTTTATCATTCATGCCCCCCCACCCTTTTATAAGCATAAAATTGACATTTTACCACAAATGTTTTGCATTTTATTTTTTCCCTGTCTACTAACAAAGTTAAAAAAAAAAAAAAAAAGCTAGCCTTTAGCGCATTCTTTCATCTCGCCCATATCTAGAACTGAAATGGGTCTGAATGCTCCACATTGGGCAAACCTCAGAGGAATAATAATTACAGACACAAAGAATGTGAAAATAAATCAAAATGTAGTTCCAAATACTTCTTAAATGGTTCTCTTTGAAATAAAACTAATTGGATTAAAGGATAAACAGATGCTTGGTACATAAGCAGAACAATTCTGTTTCCCGTAAACCTCTCCAGAAGTTTTCCTTCTCACCGATCACAAAATAACTGGCATTTTTAGTATGTTGTAAAATGCATTTATTGGTTGTTATGGGTTTGAAGGGCTTGTTCACCCAGGCCTTCCGTACCTCTCAAAATACTCCTCCTCTTTTATCATCCAGCTGAGCCACATTACCATCAATTGCTCCTGTTCTGGAGTACTGCAGAGAGAAGAAACAACAGCAATGATGACGCATCTAGGCTTTACTCCGGACTTTGAGTAAATTAAAATATTGAAGATGATTTGAACTGAACTTTGTATTGAACATAACTGAGTGGCAGAACATTAATGATGTTGATGTTTTACTGAAAACAAAGTACTAGCTAATGTTACATAAAGAGGTCATATCGTGCAAAATAATTATTATTCACTACTGTTCAAAAGTTTGAGGTCTGTAAGATTTTTTTAATGTTTTACAAAGAAGTCTCTTTGCTTCTCTACCACAAAAATAGCAATACTGTGAACTATTATTACAATTCAAAATAACGCTTTTTATGCTTTTTCACTCTTTCAACTTTAGTCAGTATATAATGTTGCTGTTTGAGCATAAAAAAGACCTGCAAGGTTACAAAGCTCAAAGTCCACTCGAACAGAAAACACTTTTCAAGAACTACCACAAACGGCTCGTTCGGACTACAGAAAGCTTCTTCCGGATATTGTGAAGTCACAATGTCGCTTATTTTAATAATTCCTGCCCACAGATGAGGTCTGGTGGAGCTGCCCTAAAGAAGAGCTGCTGTAGTAGCGTGTTGTCGCCATGGTGAAGAGAGGCTGTTTCTTCCACCCTGGTTCCAAAACCCCTTTATTTGTGCTTACAAAGGTTCTGCACAATCCTCTTTTTCGTAAACATTCTCAAGGTCTGAATCGGGCTCAAAATGGTATGGCAAAATTGACGCTATCGTTAATATTTACAGCTGAGCAGATGGAACCCGTGGTTATGGTAAGGGGTGTGTCATTTTCAGAACACACTCAGCGGTTCGCCAATTACAACGCACCGGGCTAGCTAACCAATCAGAGCACAATTTGTATTTTGGAAGGAGGGGTTTCATCAAAACAAGAACTAAACAGCATGTGTGAGACAGAATGGGAAGAGAGGTGCTGCAATAATGTAAAATACGTAAAAATAATACCTTTTTGGAACAATTACGCATGAAAACATAACCTAGCACATCCCAAAAACTAATTCAAGACATTGCAAAAGGGGGATAATAGGACCCCTTTAATACACTCCAGTCTTCAGTGTCACATGACCCTTTGAAATCATTTGAATATGCTGATTTGGTGCTCAAAAACATTTCTTATTATCAATGTTGAGTAAAAATATTTTTGTGGAAACTGATGCCTTTTTTTTTCAGGATTCTTTGATGAAAATGAAAGTTCAACAGAACAGGATTTCGTTTAGTCTTTTCGTTTAGTTGAATGCATCCTTGTTAATTAAAAGTATTACAATCAAAAAATAAATAATTGTTCTGATTTCAAACTTTTGAACAGTAGTGTAAACGTGTAACTGTTTTAGAAGGCCAAAAAGATCAGCAGCTGAAATGTTTTGTACTGACGTGGAACATTGTGTGAAAGTAAAGTATAATTGTTTTAGGCACATTACAACTATACCTCATTAAGAAAAATTTAATTAATGTATGATATGACCATGGAGTTATTAGAGTATTAGTGTCAAAGTGTGTACCTGACGAGGGTAGGGAACGCCAGCAGTTTGCAGAAGGACAGGGAGACAAAGCGCACTCCTGCAGGCGTGGCTGGTGGACGACTGGTCATCAACTGCAACAGCTGCTCCGCCTCTTCATCTGTGGGCCTGTGGAGAAAAAACACATTTATAACTAGTGATAATCAAAAAGAGCATGATGAATCACACTTTGGCAGTTGTAGTATTTAATGTGTGCTGAAAAAAGGGGGAAGCGGCGAAAGAAGAAGGGATAAGAGCTCGAGGTAAGCAGTTTTTTGTTTTAGCGCCGTGTCACGTTGATTTCATGTCACATTTTTATTGGCTGGTCAGTAAATGTGGGTCGTAGCAGCAACCACACTGTGCGATGATCATGCTGAATTTCTGACACGTAATGAACGTAGGCTATCTTTGGTCGTCTCTGAACCTCTCTAACTGTACGACATAGGACCACCGTTTAGGAGCAACGATCCCAGAAATCACCACGACTGTTTCACTTTTGAGACAGCCGAAAATCGTGCAGTGTGTCCAAGGCTTAAGACAAGTAATTTAATTAATATCTTTATTCAGGAAGAATGCATTAAATTGATCAAAAGTGACAGTAAATACAAAAAAAATAAATGCACTGAAGACTGGAGTAGTGACTGCTAAAAATTCAGCTTTGCATCAAAGGAATAAATTAAAACAAAACAGTTTTTTAAAGATTGTTTTAATTGTAATAATATGTATTAATATGACTGTTTTTTCTATGCAAATAAATGCATCCTTGGTGAGAATAAGAGACTTTTTTTTTTTGGCCTTCGTGACATGTTTTATTGGAAGATACATTGAATCAGGAAAAAAGGGTCAAGAATGAGCTGGTTAACATGGTTGGGTCTCAATTTACTGAGATGAATTGGAATGCTAAGTATCATGTAGACCACCTACAATGAGACAAGATGTAGACCAGATTCGATCTTGTGTGTCCATGTGAGCATCATAGCTAAATTTGACTGAATCATGTTAACTACTACGCTATGGCTCATGTGAGATTATTTTAAAATATTTTCCACAAATATCTTTCTTTATTTGGCTTTGATTCGAGCTCTCACCTTGAATTAAAATATCTGTTTACCGTTTATTATGCGATTTTAACCACAGATGACATTTTGCCATGCAGAATGATTAGAATTACAGAGAATCTTTTGTGACCGAGTGCTGGAATGATATTAGTTTCAATAGCCCCATATGAAAAAAAAAAAGGCTGATTGAGAGTCCGTCACAATTCATGCTGCATCTGATTACAATGTGTCTCTATAGACAAGCTCTTTCCCTAAAATGATTCAGCCTTGAGTGGAATATTCTCCTGATGAAAGATCCTGTCTAGGTAATGAGCCTTGAGAATTGGTCATTCAATAATACGAAACATTTCAAACTGGCTCTGAATGGAGCCTCACACAAATAAGCTATTGACTCAACAAGGACCTGGGAGCGATGAAAAGATAGCAGAGACTCAGAAATGTTTTTTTATTACCACTTAGAGCATCTCTGTGGAAAACCCACATACACACATAAAGAGGTGCACAAACACACCCATGCCCAAACTGCACATAATCAGCAGTCAAACTCATCAAAATGGAAATTCAGTGCCTCTCAGATGATCACGCAACGGCCACAAAAGGCAGATAAAATGTAAAGTAAAACTGAGTTTCATGTGGCTTTTTAGCCAATGAAGAAAAAAGAAATATATTATACTTTGGTACGCAAAAACGAAAACAATTGTACATATCCCTGATCCAAAACCCAGAGACACCTGAATGCGACTCCAACTATTTTAAAGTGAACTCACAATTCAGTAAATGTTCATAATGTGGAATATTTCTAAATGAGCATGTCCGATGAAATGTGCACAGTAAGGCCAGGCACTTGTAAATAATAATAATGATTTTATGTTGTCTTTAAAAGAATAGGAAAGCTAATGGATTAAAAGTTTTTTTACTGTTTTATTTCAGCAGATGATGGACATACCCTCACTGAAGCTGTCTGGGACATTTGCCACCAGCAGGCACAGGAACCACTCTCCGTTCCTCACGTGAAGCAGGGCCTCGGCCATCTCAATGATGGGCAGCAAAGAAGGCAGCTCTGTTGAAAGCAGATAAATCAAGAAAGAATTTTCTATGTTTAAGATGGATCTATAAAGAACAAAACATCAGATAAAGACAAATAACTGGGACAGCTAAAGTATCATTTTACCAAGTTTTTCATTTCTGACATGCTGAAGGAAATGTTTACTGATATAAAGATGATTGTGTCATAGAACAGTTTAATGGTGTTTCTTCTCACTAACTTCAAGCAAAGTTTTTTGACAGTTTTTACACCAAAAATGTTACACCATTCACCTGCTTGTAGGATGCAAAGAACATCAGCCACTTCCTCCAGATACACGGGACTCTCAAACAACTCAGAAGACTTGAGGAAAAACTCTCCATTAGAGTCAGCCACCTGTTGAACACAGGGAAATATTTCAAAACTATTTAATGTGTGATAGATAGGGATGTAACGATGCACCGCGAGCCAGTTAAAAAACGATACAAATGTGAGACGATTCAAATCGGTTGAGATATTAAACGAATCGCAATGCAGTTTATATGAATGTATCTCTGAGGGGAACTGACCGTCTTTAGAAAAATTTAGATGATATTTTCTTTTCATCTTGACTCTGTATAATGCATATTAAAGCAGCGTTCATCAATAGGGTCAAGCCAAAGACTACAAAATACCAAAGTTGTGTCACTCGTATAGTTTTGAATGGGGAAAAATGCAACACTCAATATGGCCGCTCTATCAAACGAAGCCCCGCCTTCTGAGTAAAAGAGTCAATCGTTAATTGTTAAGTCACTGCAGCTGCTGTTAGAAGTATATTGTCAGATTTCATTGGTGATTTGGCTTGGTGAACAGTTTTGGAGAATCTGATGTTTCCCCATTCAAAGAGATAGGAGCTGCACTTGCATGCCCAAGGGGCGTTTCAAAGATGGCTGCCGAGTGACATGACTTGCCTTAAAGGGACTTTGGTCAAGCGCTGCTCTGCTTTGTTTACAGTGGTAACCAAGGAAACGCTGTATCGCTGCTGTTCCATAAGCGCCACCTGCTGCCAGAGAGTGAATTTGCACTCTCATTCAGCCCGTCTGATGTTTTTGTCGGTATCATATGTTTTATGTAGCATCATTTCACAAAGTTAAAGTCAGACCATTCTGTTTTTGCTTCAAATATCAAAATTATACAATCTAATTTAGATAAAAAATGTAAGCAGAATCTTTGTTTGGATCATGATTCAAATCCAGTGGTTGCCTCCAACTGAATGGAAAGAGCACAGGCAAAGCCTTAATTTGTTTATATGAAGAGATGTCTTTCATTTGTGTTGTTTATTTATTTGATTTGGGGTTTGTTTTAAAATTTAATATTTCAACAGGGATGCAAACTCACCATGGGTGAAAAAGGTGACAAAGACACACACGCACCCCCCCCCCCCCACCAAAAAAAATTAAACACTTATAATATTTAAAACATTTATTATTTTTTAACTCTACAGTTGTGCAGTTTAAACATCACTTTAAATATTCACTTTTCATTCATGAAGATGACATGAAAAAATCCTGGTGGAAAACAAAGTTTAAAGATGAAAATTACATGAAATTATTATTTAATACAGTAGATGGCAGCAGAGGATCACCCATTAGCTCAGTTGGCATTTCCACTCCTTAGTTGTTGTTTTTTTTCACATCTTGCATTTGGAGTTATTATAAAATGACTATTATAACAGTTTTTTTGTACTTTTACTATACTGAAGTATAGCAAGTACAATTAAATAATAATGCATTAAATATTTGGAAATATTTTTATATGTAATTTAAAAACTACATTTTTTTTAAATTATTGCTTTAAAAAGGACACATCAAGAAGAGTGTTTAAAGTTTTATCTTTAACTGTAGAAACTGCTAAATATACTCAGCCAACACATTTGTTGCTGTTGTAGTTTCGTTACTCTGAATTTACTCTGCATCCCTTAATGCACAGCTCTATTCTGACATCGACTTGTTTATCGCGTAATTTTTTTTGTCATTCCTGAAACACTATACGTGGACATTAGGTCCTCTTAGACAAACAAAACTTTTCTTCAGATTGTGAATGAAGTATGTAGAGAAGCTAACTACACAATTAACTACACAATCAATCTCTTATTTACACAGTGTGTATGCTTTATTTCTCGTTATAATAGGAAGATATGCGAGCGTGTAGAACAACAGAGATGCCGGTGATTGGCTACAATACTCAACACAGCAAAACATGTAAATAGAAACTTTTTTTAAAAACTCACCGGATCTGCACGAATCACACAAATGACCCCTTCTGAATTCAAAACGGCGAATTTGACCGAAAAGTTTGCATCCCTGTTTCAATTTCACAAAGAAATGTTCAGCATTTTGTCCAAGCAATAATAAAAGGAAATCTTTTCATTTATAATTTGTCTCCAATCTCGTTTTGTTAAAAAAGCAAAACAAAATTGGGAGAAAATCTAATCGTGAAATCAGTATTGTGAATTGTATCGAATCATGAGTTGTTGACTGATTCATTACATCCCTAGTGATATAATAAATTAAAGATAACATCTTTATGAAATATTGAGGAAAACATGAATGTAGCCTTTTAATTTAGTTCTTCCTGTCTTTCAGCTTGCTAAAAGGATCATAATACCAATATTATTTGGGGTTGGTATTTTTAATGTTTTGAAAATACGTCTGTTATGTCCACCAAGGCTACATTTATTTGAACAAAAACACACTAATACTGTTAAATATTATTTTCATTTAAAATAACAGTTTCTATTTGAATATATTTTTAATTATATTATTTTATATTTTATTCCTGCGATGGCAAAACGGATTTTCAGCAGCCCTTAACTTCTTCAGAAATCATTCGAATATGCTGATTTTCTGCACAAGAAACACTTCTTATTATCATCAACTTTGTAAACATTTATGCTGCTTAATATTTTTGTGGAATATATATTTGCTCTGAAATAATATATAATCAAATAATTACACATTTATGGGCTAAACAGTTGTCTAGAGGAAAGTATTTAAAAAAAAAAATTTTAAACGACACACTTTGATTTTAAATTGAAAGAAAGATCATTATTCAGAAGTAAATAAAAGCCTACCAAACCTTGTTCATAATGGCTAGTAGCTCACTGAGAGCCAGTCTGAGTCTCCTGAGAGGATCACTGTGCTCAAACTCCAGAGTCAAACCATGCTGCAGCTGAGAGACCAGGATGCTCTCGCTGTTAGAGCCTCCAGCCTTATGCCTGTACGCACAAAATAGGATTAGAATCATCAGATATTTAAGCAAAGCTTCACTCCAAAATATCTCTCAGTGTCTCAGAGCAAGTCTAACTTATCAGATTTATTATGCCAATTAAATAAATCTACAGAACGGCCACCTGAAAGCTTTCTTGCTTCTGAACCCACCTCAGCTGCTGCTCTTTTCTAGCGTCCTGCTCCAGAGCATGGAAATCCACAGATAGCAGTGCAACGATGGAGTTCACCGCCTCCACGCCTGACAGCAGTCGCAGGATGAGCTTCTTGTCCTGCGCCCAGGCATTACTCTGATCTGCAGGGGCGCAGAGAGCCATCCTCACCAGACAGGGCAGCAGGAGCCGGAGCTCTGGGTCACTTAAAGCTGCTAATCTGGCCACATCTACCTTCTGCATGGCCTCAAATGCATATGGGCTCACAAACTGAAGACTGGCACTGTCCACCATTCTGCTGCAAAGAATGAAGGGGAAAGACAGAGAAAGGAAACGTTTTACATGAAGAAAAAAAAACTATAGTAACCATACTTGACACAATATTAGTTAGAACAACTATTGCTATTACTGTAAAATCATACAGTATTGATACAAATCAAACGGGTATTTTTTTCAATCAAGTATAATTGCCATTTTGCTCCATTTATTTTTTGATGACATTTGTGACTAAACCCCACACCAAAAACAGCATTGTGGTATTACCATGTTTTTGGACTTACCATGGTAAAACTATGCTCTGGGTGTGCACTATGGTAACACTATGCTATTGTAAGCATATAGTAAACGTCGGTAAATACTATAGCATATGAATATGGTAATAAAACAATCCCATGGTATAATAATGAGTTTACTTCGATTTTAGGTGTATTTATAAGAATGTATATTCCAGTTTTAACATTTATTGCTCTAGAAATGTTTTTTTTTTTTTAACACGATTTAAAACACTTCATTGCTCACAGTGGAGAGAACGGCCCTCAGATGCACATCACAATCAAATACAAGCTTATGCTTAATGTATCAAACTCTTAACAGAATCTAATAAAATTACATTTTGTATCATTAGGGGCCGTGTTACAGTAGTGGAACCGACTTACCTGAAGTTTACCAGAGCCGCTGGCTACAACAGAAACACAAACCCCGGTTAGGCCCGCGAGACCGCGGTCTTTCGTGATTCTCACGCCTACAGGAAGTTGAGCGTCGTCGGGCAAGGTAGTTTAGTTCACCGGTAAGCTAACAGGCTAGCTGCTAGAGCTTTTAAAAGGAGATCCATTCATCAAGATGTAACTACTTGAAGCAATATAATTCAAATATTAATATTTATATGCTTCACATAATTGACTTATTCTGTATAAAAACATCTACGTCCCCAAGACTGTTTACTAACAGCAAGCTAGCAGGCAGAATGGGGAGTTGTTATAGCACAAGCGCTCATCTCATCTGCCTTCACCCTTCAGTGTGCATGTCGAACTCTGACTGCGTCTAAAAACCTAGGGAGCCGCCTACTTAGACACCATTGTTTGGCCATCACAGGCGGGTTCATAGTTAAATTATCGTAACAGCGCAACAAATATGGTACATTACAATAAAGATAAAAAATAATATTTACATAAATAAAAATCCAACGTGTCTGTGATGCCCAAAAATGCTATCAGCTTTCTAGGGTTTGAAACAATTATGAGAACAACGGAGATTATTTAACCATTACATGGTAGCTGCAAGTAGCAAGGTCAATTTTTTCGGAAACATTTTCCTAATCAACTATTTTTCTGTTGTATTCCAGATAATCATAATTAATTATAGAACGTGTTTTACCTTTTATATTTGCTTTTACTGTTTTAGCACAGTAAATGCGGCCTACATGTGGTATTTGTGTTTATATTTACTAGTTATCATACAACTATATTTTAAATGTAGCATTCAAAGTAAGACTACAGTAAACAGATGCAACATACACAAGAATGGTTAATTATATTTTCATAAAGCAAAATATGATATTTGTCATGAAAGCAGTAACTGCAAACACATTTTAAAGTGGCAGCTTGCAAATAGCCTTGTTAAATTATTACTAGGCCAGTAATGATCAGTATTTTCTTAAAATATGAATGCTTCCCTTGAAATACTATAGTTCTGTCTGTAGTTGATTTTCATAAGGGTAAACTCTGACCTTGAAGTGCTTGACCCTATAGCTCTTTACATGCTGTACATCACACATTTGCATTTGGAAAGCATGTAGAACTGGTGCGGGAGGTAAGAGAAATCCCAGGGTCTTTGAATATCAGCATACAGTTTATTCTGAACAGAGTAAGATACAGGAAATATATCTTTCTCTGTGCACAAACACTGCATTTCCAACAGGCACCCAGATCCTGTTGTAAAGTCCATTTACACCACACATTTCTTTGTCACACTCAAAAAGTGTCCATTATCACTCAGCAATGGTGCAAACAGGAGAGTGAGCTGAAGTGAAATGGATGAACTTCTAAAGGGGGGCTAGAAGTATATTATAGGTCTTTGTTATCTTCATCAGAGCTGCAAGTCTCCGTCACTACGATCAGATTTCACATCATAGTCCCTCCCCCCAAAAAACACAAGCACAGGAAAAACAAGAAGTTGACTCTTTTTATTCCTAAAACAGAAGCAGTGCCACCCAAGGCTGGTGCGGCATTCATATATAATTATTTATATATTGCAGTTTTTCGTTTTTGTGTCTAAATGTGTGGTATAAAATACAATATACGACAATGTACCTCTTTATTTTTAAACACAGTGAACTTCATTGCTGTACAAGTCCCGTGCAGCTAAAGCTTAGCTGTAATTGTGTCCACACGCAAAGGCGTGGACAGAAACCCCCTATCCGGTCTCCTCTGTACATCGTGACAATACAAATAATCTCTCCCCCTTACAAAAAATAATACTCTAAAAGCAACCTACTGCAATTTTATTTTATTCATCTTTTTAGTGGGTTTTTTGTTGGCTTGTTTTTGTAATTAAGATGATTACATATATTTTTGACCAATTGCTTTAAAGCAGGAAGGCGATACAAACCTTCTAGAACTTTTATATATAAAAGAGGTTAAGAAATCCGACAAATTATACATTTAAAAACTTACAATAAATAAGACAGATGCAGGCATTTCATTTGGATATAATCCCATCCAAACGAACCGAGGAATTAGAGGTCTTAAAACCAAGAATTCATTCTCTTATTTCATAGAGCAAAGTCCTTTTCCATCAGATTCTATGCAGATTACTTCTCCATACACACTGATTATAGAACTGGCCAAATCCATGCTAACCAAGAAACCGTGCACTACCACCACTGTAGCCATGGATCCAAGGATGTAGAACACCACCAGTTAGCACTTCCGTCTTCCTTTGGCCTCCACACTGCCAAAAACTCATCCAAGGCCTCCAATTTCTCCTCTCTTTCTCTTTTAGTGAGTGTTATAAACACCAGACACCTGATTCTCCTCCACAGTGCTAGGTCTCAGGTGTAGTGACGGCCTATCCAGATCATCTCCGTTGTGACTCACATACATATAAAGTCCAGCACTGTAGTTATCTGTTGGGTTGTTTTCAGATCCACCTTTTCTTCATTCTCCTCTCCTTTTCGTTCCCTGATAAGGTCGTCCTGCTCTCAGTTATGCTCTGTGAGTGTTACAACATGGTCATAATGAAGTTGTACATTTGATTGAGCACCACAAAATGGATGGGCAGGCAAGAGCGGCGGTCCTGTGTCGCAGGGTCACAGGTCAGCCAGGAAAGGGCGTTGTACTGCTCCAACACAAATCTTTGAAGGGAAAACATTTTGGAATATTCAGTATTCACTATCATTCAATTGAATTATAACACTAGAAGATGGCTTCTCAGACACTTAGAGGAAATTACCTGAGAACATCAGAGGTCTGATTGGAGTCCAGAGGGTGAGAGTGTTTGCTGTGTAAAAGTTCATCTGATTGCACTGAAGACACATGGAGGTGTAGAGAGGCCTGGGAGTTGGGAAAGAGAGGCAAGAAGAAATTTTTAGTCGACAGAATCCATTAATCTACGCCCACCCAAAACAAGCTACAAAGCCGAGCATTTCCTCTCATTGTCAGGGCCCTTTCATGAATTAAATTGACAAGCCCATGAACGGGTAAACATGAGATGCCAGAAACATTTATACCCATTTACAGTTTCCTTTATTAGGGAACGGTTTGCTGCAGACTTTTTAATTGTGTACAAGTCAACAAGTCAGCAATAAACAAACAGCTGCTTATCAAATCAAATGCTTTGCCTTCATGTCAACACATTTAGCGAGCTCAATTCCCTCCATATATTTCAGTCGGTTTTCTCTCCTGCTCTTTCTTACACACACCAACAGCAGTCTGGCCCAATCCCGGAGTACTGAATTATTAAAAATCCCCCATTGCAGGATTCTCTATAAACGCTGCACGAGGAGGAAACAAAAGGTCATGTGACCTGAACAAAGCACGACAGGTATAATGGGTGCAGTATCACAAGGTGATGCGCTGCTTTCTGAAGAAAATTACATTCTGGACAACATTTCGTTGGCTCTGCACATAGTCTAATACCAGTTAAAATTGCCTATTTTGCACATTTACAGTATTCCTTGGGGATGAATCAAGTTTTTCTAAGGAAATGTGAAGCAACAATGTACAAATCCCAAGTAAAAATATTATGCATTGTGAGCAAGGAGCAATTACCTTTAAGAAAAGGGGACACTGGTTCTGTGCCTGAGGACACGCGGACCAAAACCAGTCAGGCAGTGGACCTGCTTTAGCCGTGGACACGAAATAGCCCAGAGCTAATGGCTGCTGGAGGATATTGGGAGCTTCTTCATGAGGCTCCATGCGGTCTGTACTTTGACCCTGAAAAAAAAGAAAATATATGAAGATGAACTCCAAAAATGCAAAAAAGATTTTTTGAGTTACACATCAACACAAAATAAAAACCAAGCAAGTACAAAAATACAGCAGTTCAAATTAAACAAGATTTTTTAAAATTGACATATGTTGAAAAAATCAAATCTTTTCTGGTAAAATCTTACTAAACAAGTCCCTGAGTGAGCGCACATCATAAAAAGTTTTCTACTTGCATTAAAACTGGGACAGTCCAATAAAATGTTTAATGCAGTCATGCATAGTCTGCAAGGTCTTCGCCTTTAAGCAAAAAGCCATGGGTCAATTTTTAGATTAAATATCCCTTTAAAACCTTAAACAGTTTTGTCTTTTATTCTTACAACTAATTTTAACTGACGAGTCTGCTAGTCAAAGTTCATGCCATTTCCCTTTACAAGGTCTTTTGAGAAAACATGCTGATCATTTGTTCCTTATTAGTGGTGAATCTCAGCTACCTTGCTCCCATCTCCTCCGTGGGGGTACTGGGATCCAGGTGAGTGGACGGGTGACGTGGTGGGTGAGGCAGGGAGGATATTTATGATGTCAGGATCAACCAGGTCATTCTCCTGCTCCAGAAGGTCAAAGATGCCTCCCATTGGATCTGATCCATCTGGAGATGAAGCAAGGATTCAGTATAATTTATTTTTATTGACAAGCAACTGATTAATGTAGCAAAATCTCCAAGTAGGGCAAGAACACGGGCTACCAAGTAAAATAGACTTGGGAGGAAAAAAAAAAGAAGTGTTGCTTCTCACCATTGCCAGGGTTAAAGGCAATGTCAATGTTCTCGTGTGGGTAGTTGGAGCTGTTGACTTGCACAAAAGCAGAGGTGGGGAACACCAGGATGTGTGTGCAAGACGTGTCCTGCGGGGTGCTCAGCTGGGACGTCTGCATGTTCAGAGTTGTACTGCGACCAAACACTGAACCTGTTGACACAGAGTCTGGACAAAGGAAAGAGACAGAAAAGATTAAAATGACTGACTGAAAGATTGAAAATTACATCAAGAGAAACAAGGACTCATGGATGGAAGTACAAGCTATTATTAGCTGTTATTTTCATTAGTGAATCAGGTTTGACTGAAATTGAAATTCGCTTCTGATAAGTTCAATGCAATATGAATGATGTTTTTTTCCTTGCATAGTAGTGCTAATTTCTTTAACGAAGACTATGACGAAAAATGCTCGTTGACGAGCTTTTTTCCCATGACTAAGACGAGACGACAATAAGGTCAATAAACGATAACTAAGACTATATCAACATGCGATTTCGTTGACGAAGACGAGACTAAAATGTATTCAAAAAGATAAAAACTTTAACAAAACCCTCTGTTTATTTTCGTCAAAAAAAGGACACAAAATGTTATTGCAGTCTGCTCTACTACGCGAGCTTTCATGAGTGCGGTTGCCAGATATAAAGAGTTCTAATCCCTGAATCAGAGCTTCGCTGTTAAATTCATACATTTTCTGCCCGGTGTGTTTTGCTTATTTTAAGCAATCTGGCAACCACGCGCACGCACTCGCTCCTCATTGCGGAAGCGCCGGCATGGTCGACCAAAAATGTTGAGTGCACG